GATAAAGCACTCGGAGAAGAAAAGGAAAGGAAAAGTGCAAGTCGTATTTATCAGGCAGTGAAAAAACTGTGGCCATGCATAAAAAAATTGCTGGCTCGTGATTGTGCATCCGAATGCACTTTATGAGCTCCTCGAGCGCTTGTTATCTGTTGGGAATTGCGAAAATGGCACTATTGCGCGATACGGAGCAAGGTTCCCAATTGATGGCAGCAATTATTTATCGCAGCATGTGCCTTTAAATTCACATTCTAACTCACTTGTTCATTTCTGAGATTTCTCGCATATGCTTCTCGTAGATTTTGAATCGTCTTAACATTTCAGCATTATCCTCGTAGTTCTTTACCAAATCTGAAAATACATTTTATTTCATAAACAGCTATTTTCTGGTGGGGGCGCAGGTATAGTTGGGAGAGGTAAACATCGTGGCGCAAGAGACAATGATTTTCAGTTTTACGCAGGGGGACAAAACTCTGGGGGAACCTTGAGCCCAGCCTTGTAAACAAATTATGAAAACGGTTGCTGGATTCAAACCGACTTCTCCATGAACTCCACAAAACGATCGGTGTATTCCATCGAATCTTCTGACGCAGCAGAATCCCCCATGAAAGGTCGTCTCTGCAGCTCCTGACGATGCGGTTTATCCCTAGAAAGTCAACATAGAACAGACATCTGAAAAATGCTAACGTAATAAAATCACCAACAGGAAAAGGGCATAAATCATCGTCGAGAGGATGAACAGTATGGCAAGGGCTAGGCGAAGGAGAATTTGTCGTCTGAAACTGATCCTTTTGTTGAACATTTATCTAAGTCAAATATGACCTTAGGCGGTTACTTTATTCGTCCTGGTATATTGAGTTCTGCTTCTTCATTTTGCTGCAGAGGAACTAGAACTTCCTTTTGGTTATTTATTCTGGAAAAAAAGAACGTTAAATTGAAAACTGTGAGAGAGCGAGGAGTTTCTACCAAAATTAGGCCTAAAAATTAAAACGTGGATGTCTTTGGAACTTACTTAATTCCGGTCATTGCTAGTGGACTCCTTC